TGATTCATATAGTCTTCAGCATCAGTCCTTGCTGCGGATAACATAGAAGATTTACTCAACATTTTCATTCTTCCCTCATCAGCCAATTTCACTATAAATTTGTGAGTTTTCTTTTCTTGCTTGGCAGACTAAACCTAATTTTTGGACACAGATTCACTTGCCCCGAACAAGAATTTATTACGAGACTGTTCATACCGAAAAATACATTATTTATATCTCAGACAAACTTCAATATCCTAAATTAAGCGGAACTTACTGATGATGGACTGTCTTCCCCCCTGTCAACTCTTTATAAATGAAGTCCTCTTATCCAAACGAAGTGTTGATGTGCAACCAAAGAGTGACTTACAGGCTAGTTTAAATGATGATCTGGAACAGTTTGTACTAGGAAATCGAAATGAAGTTATAAATACAGTCTATGATTATTTACTTATTTTGTTTCAGTTAATGATTCAAAAACATTAGTGATAACATCAAAACTCAAAGCCAGGAAATATATTTCAATGACTAAAGAAAAATGCGATGATTTTATATGAATAAAATAGTTCTAAAACTTATCCAAGATTATGGCAAATAAGAAGGACTTTTTACAAGCAATCATATATTTTAGAACCACTGATATCAAGTTGACAGAAATTAACATTATTGTATTTCTTCATTTTATTACAGTACAAGGCACGTGAGCCACTCGAGGCAGAGGTTTACTGAGTAAGAAGCACATTTTATGCGGATATGTGGGGAAGATGACCAATTGTTCCAAGACTTGATCAGGTTAAAATTGTAGTAATCAGGAGAACGTCCTCTTGCGAGTCTATTCAACCGAGTAGCAGTTCTCAGGAAGAAGTTTCTTCAGTGAAATTTACATTTCACAAATGCAATACAACGGGAATGATGGTGATTCCATAAAATATGCTTATCATCGCGAGTCTTAGATGTAAATATTAGAACTGGTGGACCTTAGGAACGTAGTTCAACCGAGCATTTTCTGCGGAAATAGCAATAGAGCAGTGAGAGCTTCCTACGTTTCGGCTTCAAGAAAAGATTTGTAGGTTGGAAAATAATTAACCAACCAAAAGGACGCGGAGAGGAGACGTCTATTCATCGTGACAGGTGATATTTCAGAGTCCTATCGGCTATGATGGAATGCAACTAGTTTGATTTTCGCGGCTCTGATAATAATTGGCCAATTAAATCCCACCAACACTGAGATGTTAGAACTAGGTTAAAAAAAGAAATTAGTTGCAAATATCTGACCAGCAAGAGTTATGGAGATGCGCTCATATAGGATTGTATCACCGGCATAGATATTTAAAAATGATCGAAGTATACTTTCAGGCATATCGTTTGCGAAAAGTAGAAAGTGGGTTGCTCTGAAATGTGACCCCCGATGTCACTTGCATTGATTTCTAGCTCCCCAGGGGAGAGGCCGTTAAGAATTACATTTCAGGAAATTCTTTTGTTACCAACAGGATTTCTTTCATGAATTTTGCATGTATACGATTTTTTGGTGTATGTATGTATGTATATATATATATATATATATATATATATATATATATATATATATATATATATATATATATTCCCCATTACAAGGCTTAAGAGCCACTCCTGTTAGAAAGTTACAGAATAAGGTCCGCGATTTGAATGGGAAAAGGTAGCAAATGTGATTATGATGATAATAAGAATAAGGATTGTCGATTGATTTGAAGGGGTTAAGTTTGTAATGTTCAGTGAAGCATCCCCGTGGGAGTTTACAAAAACATAATCATTTATTCATTTTTTAATTTCTTTTTCCTCGGTTTCAATCGTTTTTTGTTTATAGAGAAGTTCAAACTTCCATCTTTTGCACCATATTAGAGATATATATTTCAAGTTACTCTCTTAAAATTTTTTCGGAATTCAGATTATTTTGCTATCCTCTTTGTTAACTCAACGTTATCAATTTGAGTGTAATACTAGATTGGCTGCTAGGTCTTATCATGTTACTGATGAAATTCCTATATCTCGCACTTCTCAGCTGTGGAAATCTATTCCAGCCTTATGCCTTTTTGTCAAAGATGTCAGTCACCATCTTCTGACTTCTTGGATCCACTTTTTTATGGCCTTTCTAAGCTTTCACCCTCAGTAATCCTTTGTTTATTAGTGCTATTGTAGCCTTGCCTCAGGTGAAACGATTAAAAATAGTTATGTCGTTATAAAAAAATCGTTATTGAATATCGCAACTACACAATTATTTTAGACATGCATATAAAAATATAAAATACAGAAAGGTTATAAATAAATTCATATTCGTCCTGGGTATAACGATAAACTACATTTGGCAGCAAGAGCTTCGATCGCGAGATGAGCGATTTTAAGGAGGGTGGAAATACCTATTAATTACGGTTGTTCTTTGGTCCCACCTGACCCTAGTGGGCAGCACCTGTTAGTGTCTAAAAATAAGGGGAAATAGTGAACCCACAAACAAAAATCAATAGTATAGTTTATATATATATATATATATATATATATATATATATATATATATATATATATAAACAGAGTAACAATACATTCTTATAGCAAAATGAGAATGAATGCACAAGTAAAAATTATAGAAATGGAATTTATTACCAAAATGCATTTTATGATCTTCAAACTATATATCTGTCATGGGTCCTACCTATAACTACAGAATGAACTCTTCCTAACACTATGTATACTACGCCTCTCAAGAGAGAGGGACGAATCGTGTGGAGCCGATAGTAGTTCACTCCAAACCAGACTGACAGTCATACTAACACCTTCCACATCTTGTATTATTATTTCGTGTAATATACCTTCGTTATTTCTACTCTTGTGCTCGTGTTGTTCTTCCTTGGTCCTAACCTGGACCATAACAATATCTAAAACATACCTTTACCCAGAGAGTATAAAATTATGTAGAATATATCTGTAGTTGAAAGCTTAAAATTACGTACAAAATATTCAGTTAGTTACGCGCAATGAGTTACACACGCTTAGGTGATCATGTATCTTTCGATATATGACTACCGAGGCAGATTCTTCCGCGCAGTAGGTTGCCATTTCTTTCTGCGGTAGACCACTTGCCATCCAAGGCTATAGAACCCTGTCTGTCCTGATATTTATCCAATAGCTTGAGGCGAAGAAGAGGATTAGCACGTAAATGAATTTGATTCCTCAATCCGAGCCGCTATTCATTAAATAACCAAAACAAAATGAACCAACTAACCAAGCAAATGAATTCATACAACTTTTAACATCTGCACCGTTCATCCATATACGACGCAGTTTTATCAAGACTGACCATTGAAAAATAACTTTATATACAGAGAAAAATCTGATTTTTGCCCAAGTTACAGATGAAAAAATAGTTGTTAGATTAACATATTCTGAAACTTGCGAAACAACATGAAAATATGAACGCAAAACAAGTAAAACAAAGGTAACCATAAGAAAATCAAAGTGCTATCAGAACTCATGAAATACTGTCCTTGTGCTGAAGGGATAGTACAGGAAAGAGGAATCTCACTGTGAATTGATATAATCTGAATTGTGAGATCGATGACTTTAAATTATAATAAATCCTGTTCATGTATACATCCTCCCATTTAACTAAGTGAATATATTTGTTTCGAAGAAACGTGTAATGAATTATTTGACAAGAGAGTCTTCTTCGCGCTCTTCAAACCATTGGAGGGTTGGAGATTTTTTGAGAAGCATCATAAGCTTCCCCAGTATTTGTTGAAAACTGTCAACTTCAGTGACTCAGTCCGGTTGTAAGTACTCAATTCTGTGCCTTGTGCAATCTCCTTGGAACAGGTTTTAATATATTTATTCGATATCATATTCCTTTTGTGCGTGCATCCAACGATTAGAGTTAGTGATATTTGGAGGAAATTTTGTATAACTAAAACTGCTTATAAATCAAGTTTAATCATGACAAAATTAGAACATTTTTCTGAAAAATAATTTTAGATGTAATTTTGGACAGAGATTTACAAACAAAATAGAAATAAAAACGGATTTACGCAATTTATTTTTTTCGAAGAAAATTATTTTAATTAGAAATTGAAATCTGTTAATATTCATTTCTATTGTAGGTCAGAACTATGTAACCTTTTGTTTTCTATTCCCCAGCATAAAATCCCGTATGGATTTGCCTATAACAATGTAATTTTTTTGTTTGCAATACAATTCATATGTACATAAAGTAATTCGATCTACATTGTGTTCCGGAACTTCTAAAAGATTTATGTAACATTATTCGTGCTACAATGTTTTGGTTAAACGCATTTTTTGCAAAGATGATGAAATATTTGCTCCTGACTAAGAAAGCGTTTTGAAGAATAAAAACTTCCAAACGTCCAACTTCTTAACAAATAAAATATCTGTTTTACGAAATAGTTTCATTTTGACTAGAAATAGCGTATTATGGTCTATGGTGACACTAGTTTCCATGTATGACATCTGGGATCAATTTTACATAACGTATGTTAAGAGAGGATACCTTGCCTAGTTTTCAGCTGAAGTTAGATCATTGGATTATGTTATTTCATTTGATCGTACCACGGACAGGAGATTAGATTTATACAATATAAATACAGGCACGTATCATCGTACTTGCACTAACATATAAGGTGGAAATATGATTCATTAATTTCGTATCACGAGTATTTTAAGTTATTTTGGCCGAGTTTTCGTTTACTCGAACTTGAACCAAATAAGATTGCATTTGCGGTGATACTTAGAATATTTATTATGATTGAAAATATTTAAGATATTTGGCAAAGATGTAATATTTAAGTGAATGAATGGAAAGTAAATAGATATGAATAGCGAATAAAAAAGAGTAAACAAAACTGAACAAACCCATATATTATCATGTTGTTGATAAGTAGAGTTAGTGCATTGACAGGTAATTAACGACTGTCTCTTTAATAAAAAGGGACTGTCTCATTCATACTTAAAACAATCGTCTGGCTAAAAGACTGTCT